GGGAGGGAAGGAAGAAAAAGGAAGAAAAGGGAGGGAGGAAGAGGAACAAAGGAAAGAGGGAGGGAAGGAAGAAAAAGGAAGAAAAGGGAGGGAGGAAGAGGAACAAAAGATGAGAAGGAAAGAGGGAGGAAGAGGAAGGAAAAAAGGAAAGAGGGAGGAAGAGGAAGGAAAAAAGGAAAGAGGGAGGAAAGGAAGGAAAGGGAAGGAGGGAGGAAAGATCAGAAGGAAAGAGGGAGAGGAAGGAAAGATCAGAAGGAAAGAGAGAGGAAGGGAGGGGAGGAAGAAAAAAGGAGGGAGAGATGGAGGGGGAGAAAAGGTGAGAAGGAAAGATGAGCAGGAAGGGAAGAAAAAAGGGAGGGAAGGAAGGAGAAGGGAGGGAGGGGAAGGAAGAGAAAGGAGGAAAAGACAAGCAGGAAGATGGGTCCTAGGAAATACACTGGGTTAATTTGCCATCCATTCCAAGGTTCCAACCCTTGGGCTCCATTGTCGTCGTAACTCGAGGACTCTCTGTGCTGGGTCTCAAGTCAGTTTAGTCATGTGATTCAGGTTATCAAAACTAGAAAGCGGGAGGTGGTGAGTTCTAGTCCTGCCTTAGCCGTGAAGGCTGGCTGGGTGACTTGGGAGCCATTCCTCAGTTCAGTCCGCCTCACAAGGTTGTTGTGGGGATAATAGGAAGGTGTGTTTGATGTGTTTACCACCTCAAGTTATTTGTAAAAATAAAAGCAGGAGACAAATAAATAAATACATTTTCTCTAATTATAGTATCCATTGAGTGGAGTCGTGGCCTAACAATCAGGAAGCTGTGGGTTCAATCCTGTGAAGATGCAGATATTTCTCTCGGCACGATGAGAATATATCTGCTGAACAAAACTCCTCATTGGCAACAGGTACGGCATCTGGCCAGTAAATACATAGCTAGCTCCATTCAGTTGCCCACTCTGCAAGGGATTATTGGGATCGATAAATGACGATATAGTATCCATTGAGTATTAAACAAAAGCTTCTTGCTTTATTCTCCAAGATGGTTGTTGTGTTCAAGAAACCATAAATCAGAATTAGTGGTTTGTCTATGAATCAACCAAATACCACTTCTGTTAAGGCATCAAGGTGCTTATTTACTTGCTACAATCTTTAATGTTTTGTGTCATGGAAACGCAGTCATTGAAACAGTACCTTGAATGCGTTTTAATGAATTCAGCGGAAACCTGAGCTTTTAAAATTTACTTTATTATACAGAAATGAAACAGAAAGCCATCTACATATAAGAAAACTCAAGACAATAAAAATGTGTCAATTTACAAATTTTAAATTAATTAGATTAAATTGGGCCTTAATCAGGAGTATACACTGAAGAAACTGATTCTCAAACTATATTCAATTATTATTAGGTGAAGGTTCCCCTCGCACATATGCGTTAGTCGTTCCCGACTCTAGGGGGTGCTGCTTATCTCCGTTTCAAAGCCGAAGAGCCAGCGCTGTCCGAAGACGTCTCCGTGGTCATGTGGCCGGCATGACTTAACACTGAAGGCGCACAGAACGCTGTTCCCTTCCCACCAAAGGTGGTCCCTATTTTTCTACTTGCATTTTTTATGTGCTTTCGAACTGCTAGGTTGGCAGAAGCTGGGACAAGTCATGGGAGCTCACCCCGTTACGTGGCGCTAGGATTTGAACCGCCGACCTTTCTGATCGACAAGCTCAGCGTCTTAGCCTCTGAGCCACCGCATCCCATATCTCCTTCATAGCAAGAGTAAAAAGAAACCAATTCAGATTGGTTTCCCATGGATTAAAAATGTGATTGTTCAATTTTTTTAAGAAGCAAAGCAAGGATAACAACCTTTGCTGACATATTGCAGCTTGTTTTAAAACCTTTAATCCTACTTTACAGATTGGACTATCAATCAGAATAGAGCTGGAAGGGACCTCGGAGGTCTTCTAGTCCAGCCCCCTG